GGGGGGGAGGGGGGAGGGGGAGGAGGAGGAGGGAGGGACTGGCTGGGGAAGACCAGGAGGAGAAGTCGGAGAGAATCAACCAACTGGCCGGCTAGGAGGGGGCGGGGGATTGAATCAGCCGGCGGGGAGCAGGACTGACTCGGGCTGTGCAGATCTTAGGGCACTCCCATCCCGCACGAGTCAGTCCGGCTGCAGCTCCACCATGCGCTTGACCAGCGTGCAGGAACATGGACCGGGCTGCCCCTCCTCCTCCTCACACGCACCAGTGTTTCCAGCGCCGATCACGCCCCAGCTCCTAGTCTCTCCCCCCCATACCGCGCAGGCTTCCATCCAGCGCCCAGCCAGAAAACCAGGAAATACCAGACATTGCACATGTCTGGTATTTTCTGGATTTTTTTACTGGGCAGAGGGCCCAAAAACCAGACTGTCCGGTAGAAAACCGGACACCTGGCAACCCTAGGCAATCACGCCTATGCAAAAGGAGTCTAAGATACTGCCAGTCTGAGTCACAATTTGAGGCCTCTGGGTGAAAGGTGGTGACCAATCAAGCCTGTAACACTCCACACATACCCTCTTCCCGGTGCTCCCAACAGTACATAGGAAGGAGGGCTGAGGCCTGGTGTGAAAGAGAGGGAGAGGCTCCTCCCTCCCTGAAGGTGCATGGTCTTGGGTGGAAGGGGCGGGGCTAGGCAGCCAGCTCGCCATTCTGCCTCCCCAGCCAGTCCCCGCAGCTGCCTGGAGAGCGCAGTTTGGTGCTCCATCAGCAGTTTAAAGCACTTGGGGATGCTGCTACTGCTGCTCTAGCAGCAACCAGGAGTCCTGGGCTTTATTGAATTGTGTGGCCCTGGGGTGGTTGCCCCATTTGCCCCTGCTCATCAGTGAGCCTGTACACAGGTGAGCACAAACTGTGCACTGTCCTGGCTGTTTCCGTGGCAGAGGTAATGGAGGGCAGGCACCAATGCCTAGCAAATTCACAGTAGGATGGGGTAGTGGGGCAAGATGGGCATAAATAAATTAGAATCTCAATGCTGCCCATCCCCAACAAGGATGGAGATGAGTAAAGGCAGGTTGTCAATGGGACCTTGCATTTCACCTGGAATGGTTACGTAGTGGTGTCCAGTATTCATCCGGACAGTCCAGTATTTTCGGCTCCTGTCTGGTAAAAAGAATCAGAGAATACCGGACACCTGAGATGGCCAGTATTTTCTGAATTTTTCCCCGGCCAGGAGGCAAAAATGCCAGGCACCTGGCAACCCTACAAACATTCAGCGCCCAGCATCCCCCTCCCCACGGTGAACCGCCTCCTCTGGCCCCCAGTCTCCCGACCCCAGCCCCCATGCTTACCTGGTTCCTCAAGGCTGTTGGCACAGAAGGGCTGCCGGCCAAAAGACCTACATCTTCCCCTGGGTCTTAGTGCTCAACAGCTCCCCAATTCCTATCCCGGCACTCACTCTTAAAGGGGACATGTTGTTTTAATGCTGTTTTATTTTAATTTTTTTGGCTTAATAAGTCCTTGCTCAACAACTTTGGTTTCCCCCCCTTTATTTCCCTTCAACAGAATTTTTTCCTGTTTTTTTTGGGGGGGCGGGGGGTGTTCGGTATTTTTGTTTCAACTATCTGGCAACCTTAGTGAGAGGTGAGTGTGGTGCAAAGTTATAACATGGCCAAAGTGACTCATTTACAACGCACTAGGTCCTGGTCAGTGTTGATTCTTTCCTGGTATTATTGTTCTGAAAAAGCATTGTTATTTAAACGGGAAAATAAATAGAGCAAGGGATTCCCCAGCCCTCACAGAGGGATAGTCTATCACTGGTTACAGAATGAATGTTTGAGGAACCCTTTGTTCAAATATCACCAGTGCAGCATTGTGCTGAATGGTATAATGGACAAATGATGGTGTGTGATACAAAAAGTCATCCCAAAATGTTAATAAGATGAGAGACCAGTTGATTATCTGGATATAGAAAAAAAAACCCCAGCAGAGCACGCATTACACCCCAGCGTTCTGTAACTGACACTTAACTAAACCTATCAGGACAGTAGAAAGCATGTAAAATATTTTATTAAACAAAGTATCAGTAGTTTGATAATAAAAGTCTTTTAAACTAAATGACTGATACGTTATTCAGGACAAGTAACTATCTCCATAGTCACAGCAGGGAATTTTGTCCTCTGCAGAATCCTTAAATGAATAAAATATAAAACTTGGACAGTGGGCTTCAAACTTTTTAGGGTAGATACCCCCTATCACCTATCGCCATCTGAGATGGACCCGTGATTAGATTACTAAAAAAAAATGCATTGTGCACCTTTATAGGATTTTTCTTGTGTGCCCCCTAATGACAGCTTGCATACCTCTAGGGGTACAAAACTTTTAGAGGGATAGCTGTGTTAGTCTGTAAGGATACGTCTACACAGCAGGGCTAAAGTTGAATTAAGCTATGCAACTTCAGCTACGTCAATTGCTTAGTTTAAGTTGAAATAGCTTTATTTGGCTTTTGGCACTGCAGGAAGTTGAAGAAAGAACATTCTTCCTTCAACTTCCCTTACTCCTCATGAAATGAGGCTTACTATGAGTCTGAGTATGAAGTCCTCCAGCTGGACATTATTTCGAAATAAAGGCTTGTAGTGTAGACTCACAGGGGCTACATCTACACTGGCATCCCTTCCGGAAAAGGGATGCTAATGTAGCACGTTGGAATAGGCAAATCCGTGGGGGATTTAAATATCCCCCGCAGCATTTGCATTAACATGGCTGCCGCTTTTTTCCGGCTTGGGGAAAAGCCGTAGAAAAGCGCCAGTCTAGACGTTATTCTCTGGAAAATAAAGCCTTTTCCGGAGGATTTCTTATTCCTACTTGAAAGAAATCCTCCGGAAAAGGCTTTATTTTCCAGAGAATAACGTCTAGACTGGCGCTTTTCTACGGCTTTTCCCCAAGCCGGAAAAAAGCGGCAGCCATGTTAATGCAAATGCTGCGGGGGATATTTAAATCCCCCACGGATTTGCCTATTCCAACGTGCTACATTAGCATCCCTTTTCCGGAAGGGATGCCAGTGTAGATGTAGCCCCTGTGAGTCTACACTACAAGCCTTTATTTCGAAATAATGTCCATGTATTTGAATAATGCTGCTATATAGATGTACCCTAACTGAAAAAATGTAAACAGTTAGGTCCTATAGCATCTTAGAGACAAACAAAAAATGTAGATGGTACATGTCGGGGTACATATATCCCAGTCTGAAAACCCGTAGGCTAGGACAAACTCATCCAGACATGCTGGGAAAGGAACTGATCCAATCTCCATTGTAGCTAGTGGGGAAACACCTTATATACCTTATCTTACGGTTCCCAGACAGGGGATTCAGAAGTGACCCGATTACACAAGTCAGCCTTTCAACTTCAATGGAAATGGGGTTAAAGGAGCTTCGTGTCTGACAGCTCTCACAGATGAATTGGAGAAGTTCTCACTTCTCTTTGTTTCATTGTTTCCAAATCTTTTTCCACACTAAGGATATCAGGCATCAGTGGCCAGGCAAAGGGAAAGCTGCACCAGGTCAAATCTTTGGGGCTTTTGTTTATACTCAGGAAAGTCAAGACAATTTAACTAGAAGTATCCAAGCTAATGTGCATAAGTTAAAGCTCATTAAAGTGCTGTTTGGACCCTGTCTCATTGAGAAGTAAAGCAGCCTTTCAATTTACTAATTTTTCTTAATTCCCACTGTAGACAAGCCCTAGGGTAGATGAGTAAAACCACTACAGACTGCAGTGAGCACCAACCCGTTTGGCTCTGCAGCAAACCAGGGTAAGCTGAATATTGTCCGCTTGTGTATTGTCTGTATACACCCGGTGTCCCTTGTTTCATACCGAAAACATGTCTACACTGCCCCACAACTCAGGCTATGGAGGTGTATGAATAGTCAATTAACTGATTAACGGGTAAGCAAAAGCTTATAG